CATCGGATCACAAGGCATTCGCTGTAATACCACTGACAGAGACATAAACACGGGGCTTTCTGTGCCCAAACCTGAGTTCGACTCTCCCACAGCAAATCTCAGGCTACAGACCCTGCAGGAAATGCTTTGTATCCAATACGTCCAACAGCTGGCCTCAGGGGAAGAGGGGTTCGCACGGCCGCCCCGGGGGAAAGAGGCCACCACAGGCTCTGACTAAAATATATGTGAGCCAAACCTGAACCGATGTGTTCAGACCACATTCCACTGTAGCTGGACCCTCCCCGTGCAAAATGATGAGAAACGTTCTCTCTTCAAGTGGCAGCACAGAACATGAGAACTGACAGACCCAGCAGGCCAGAGACACTATACTGGGGGCAGAAACCTCACCTGCTTCTTCCGCTACTTCACTGCTGCTCTCTCAGATGGTGGCAGTGTTGACCAGACATCGTGGGTCATGGGTTCCTGGAAGCTTGTGCTGGGACTGAGGAAACAGAGAAGTGTCTCATCTCTTGAACAACCAAATAAACAAACACTCCTAAAGTGTTTGCTTTTTTATAAGGTGCATTTCTACAAACCATAGTGATTCCTTATTAATCCATTTTATAAGTAAGAAAACAAAGAAAAAGCAGTTTTTTCTAAAATCAGAGGTTTTTTTAAGTCTCCAGTTACCTGGCTCCTTGCTAGAGATGAAATAAAAAATGGATGAAGGATGATGCTCTGGCTGGTGTGGCTCAGTTGGTTGGAGCATTGCCCCATATACCAAAGGGTCATGGGTTCGATTCCTGGGCAGGGCACATGCCTGGGTTGCCGGTTCAGTCCCCAAGCATGCATCCATCAGCCATTTCCATCAATATCCACCAACTATCTCTCAATTATCAGTTGGCTTCATACAAAGTAAGGTGGGCTTACAGGAGTGGTTTGTGGGTTGTAAAGTAGTAAGCAAGAAATAAACCCAGCAAAAGTCAAGGGTCAGCTACTAGATGGGTCAAGCTGGAGCAGAAGGCTCCCCAAGGAGGTAATATTATCATGAAGTGGGATGGAGCCACGTATGACAAGGTTAAGAAATTTAGATCGTGCCCTGGCTGGTATGACGCCATGGACTGAGTGCCAGACTGTGAACCAAAGGGCTGCTCCTTTAATTCCCAGTCAGGGTGCAGGCCTGGGTTGCAGGCCAGGTCCCCAGTAGGGGGCGCATGAGAGGCAGCTGCACATTGATGTTTCTCTCCCTGTCTTTCTCCCTCCCTTCCCTGCTTTCTAAAAATATATATACAAAATATATTTTAAAAATTTGTAGTGTAGCTTAAGACTGTTTTTAAGCTGGGTGGTGACTTGTTTGGGGACGGATGGCGTACAGGTGCACTGTGATATGTAGACAGTGGGGAGTCCAGGTGAGGGTCAGCAACGATGGTCAAGGGCATGAACAAGTGTGGAGACAGCAAGACTAGAAAGGTGATGCAGATGATGGAATAATAAAAGGAAGGGCACGAAAGACTGGATGAACTTGGGGAGAGAGTCTAACTCAGTGGCGATGGAGATGTAGGAATCCATTAGCTCAGTGGTTTGACCCAGTGCGAGTGGAATCCACATGCGGAGCCAGGGCCCCGACCCACGTTTCCCGATCCTCAGGGTAGTGCCACTGAGATGGGTCCTTTAGGCCTTACTTCCTGCATCCTCCTCCCTTTCTCTGCCCACTACCAACCCTGGGGGTGCCACCAAGGCAAAAGCCCAATTTAGGACAGCTTTCAGTAAACATGGATTTCTAGGATGAAAAACAAACACCCTCTTCATCCCAGTCCCTGGCCTCAAATATTTGATCCAGCTGCATAAATGATGAAAATATTACATGTGAAGGCTTCATATGGGAGCACTCCTAGGATTCAGGTCATTTTTACCATAGCAATGGCTTGGACATACCTGTTTTCTGTGTGTCTTTGGTCAAAAACACAGAGACACTTCAGGGCTGTCTATACTTTTATCTTAACTATGTGAAATGTATTATGTACATGGATGAAGAAAAACAAGTTGTGTTATATATAGTAAGGGATTGTGGGTAATTTTCAAAAACAGTTTCTTTATTAGTCGTAGATACTTGGTCAATAAATTAAAATTGGGAGGGGGAGGAAGGTCAGAGAACCACCCTTGGTCTAAGAAAGGTTATTCTCCTGGCACAAGAAGCTTCCATCCCTCAACCCAATGTGCTATAAATGCCTGCCGTATTTAGGTATGGAGATGACAAGAAGTTCCACATATTAAAGTGAACAAATTTTTTAAAAACCTAACAAATCACTTTTTCCTCCCCTTCTCCAACTTCCATTGGCTTCCCCTCTCTCTCTCGTTTTTCTAGACAACAAGGAAGTTTGAAGTTTGAAGAAAAGAAAGCAAGCCCCTGTTGCATAAGACATTTCAGTACCAGGCTAATACTTTCCGAGGCCAGGAAGTACTGGGAAGTAATTACCTGTTGCACTTGAGTCTTCTTTGCTTTCTTCCCACTTGTTTGAAAGATGCAGAGAGAAAAATCCTTGATCATTAATCATATCAGTATCTTTGCTGAAATCCGAACCCAGATCCCCCAGGGGCCTTTGAAATACCGTGACCACCAGCCCCACTTCCTCGCCCTCCCTGCTTAAACTCTGGGGTTCCCTGGGGAAATCAACTAAATTACTTCATGAGTAAAATCTCCTTCTTCTTAGGGCTTGGAAACCACAGGTAGGTTGCTAAAGAAAGCTGGGAGCCCAAACACTCAAAAGAGCATTTCAAAGTAAAAAAACCTCCGGGCCCATTTGTAGGATGGAAAGGAACATAAATCATCCTCTTATCACAAGTTGGCCAACGGATCGACAGCTAAGCAGGGTCCCCTTCCCACATGTGGCCAAGGAACCAACCATCCCGGCCTCTATCAACCTCCTCTCCCAAGTAAAGTCAACTCCAGTGGTTTAGGCAAATTCTCCCGAGAAAATGTCTCTTACAATGTTACTCTTCTGAGGTCTCTTAAAAGAGGACAAAAGGGACAGTGTCTGCCTCCTGAATCTTCAGATGTGCTCCGCCCCTAGCCAGCCACCTGAAGGCCCAAACTCTGAGTAATAAACGGGGACCAGCCAGATCAGCCAAGTGGCCCAGCGAGGCAACTCTTACTTCTTTCAGTTTTACCTCTTTCCATAAACTCATTCCAAAAACTCATCTGGCAGCGAAGTCACAGCTCCACGGCTGTTCCTACCCTGCCTCTGTCCCACTGACCCCAAGGTGCTTCGAGATTACCATGGGAACCCTCTGGGTTTCAATTATGAGACCATTAAAAAGTGCCAATTATAAGACCTCAGAAGCGTTCCTGGGTAACCTGTTACACACCTCAAAATGGCCAAGCTCTTGCCTCAGAGTCACTTAATGCAAAGTTCAGAAAACAGGTCATCCAGATGTACTGAGCTCCCCACCCCGGCCCCCACGTCAGTCCAACAGGACCCTGTTTTAATATTGTCCGTGCTGCCCTTGAGAAAATGGGGATTGATTTATTAGCTGTAACCAGAGGTATATATATATATATTTTTTAAAAAGCCCATCACAGAGCTGGGCTGCCTGTTCAGGGCCCAGTTGTGGAGTAAGTCAGAAATGTACACACATTCAAGAATTTTGAAGGTGCCATTCGTTCAATGGCCAATGTCTGCAAAGTTCTGGGCGACAAAGAACTAGGTGACAAATAAGAGCTGGGTGCAGGGCATCTGGAGGTGGCCTGAGGGCCTGGCACCAAAACACACTTTTCACTTAGTCCACTCAAAGAGGTAACTCTGGGTGTCAAAAGCTTATGTGAACCCGTTGGAACTAGCTGAGAATGGATGGGGAGAGGCAGAACACCCCACCACACCCGCAGAGGGCCCGTTTGGGACTGCTGGTGTGCGGTTTGGGTATTCTTAGCTCCACTGCCACATCTCTGGGGGGACGCAGCCACCATTCAAGTAACCCTGCCACTGCCACCCCCATCCCCAAAACAAAACTAAATGAAACGAATCCCCAAGGCTCCTCACACTTCTTCGGGTCTGCCTGCCGGCCACCCCTCATGATTCTCCCATCGTCTGGAAGAGCAAACTAACCTTGGGCACCCCGAGACTTTGGTAGGGCCTTCAAAAACCCAGTAGAAAATTCTCCCTGGGTTCCTGGCCCATTCCCACTTGTTCAGAGGCTCATTGCCCCTTCTCACAGTTATACAAACAAAAACTCCGAGAGCACAACCCAAGGAGCACGCTGTGCGAGAGCACACACACGTACACAAACCCGCCTTTACTGCTGCCCCAACCCCCAGGACGCCTCTGGACACCTCACTTCAGCCTCCTCCTTTCCACCCCTCCAGCTAGGGATGTTCTCCTGGGGCTGTTTCTCTCCCGGTCCGTTTGGTTCCTCTTAGTGTTTTCCGTTTTAAACACCAATACCATCAAACCTCACTCTCGAAAGAGACCAAATGAGTGTCGGGTAGTTCTGTGTATTGGCCGATCGCGCGGGGGTCTTCTCCCCTTGGCCTGGCGCACGGGGCCAGAGCACTGGTGTCAACCTTTGGGGAGAGTTTGGGCGGCTGTCCCGGCGTTTTTTCCACCCTCGGAGCTTGCGGGAGCCACGGGCCAGACCGCACCCGCAGGGAACAGGATGCGGCGCCCCAGGCGCCCCGCTGCCGCCCGGTCCCGATCCCGCGGTCCCCGCGCCGGCGCGCCCCTCCTTGGCCGCGGCCGCTGCCAGCCCCACGGGCCGAGCGCTCGGACCGGCTCCGGTCGCCCGTGCGTCCCCGTCAGCCGCCCGCTGGCTTTTCCTCGGCGTTGCCGGCCTGCGGTCGCCTCCCGCCCCCTCTCCTCCCCAAACCAACAAATAAACACAACTTTTTATGAAAAGAAAACAACTTCAGCGACGTGACTCACCTCTGGTGCAGCCGGCTCCTGGGGAGCGCCGGGGCCCGGGGGCCAGCGCCGTGGGCGCGGAGGGAGCCACACGGCACACGCGGCGCCGGCAGCCACCCGCACGGTGACACCGGGAACACGCGGAACGGAGACGGCGCGGCGGGAGCAACAAAGGAGCCCCGGACCCCGAAGGTGCCGGCCGGGGAGGGAGGGCGCGTGCGGGCGCGTGCGGCTGCGGCGCGCGTGAGTGTGTGTGTGCGCGAGTGTGCGTGTGCGTGTGCGTGTGCGCGCGCGGCGGCGGACACCGCGGCCGGTTCACGGACCGCGCGGCGGGAAGCGGGGGCCGCTGCGGCGGCGCCGGCAGGAGGACGGGGCCGAGGACGCCGCGCCCCGCGCGCCGGCTCCCTCCATATGGAAGAAGCTTTTTTGGATGACTGTACTCGCCAACAATTCCTGCTTTTGCTTCTCCTGCCTAGGAACCTCCCATTACCGCGCGAGGCGGAGGGAGAGGGGGCAGGGGAGGCGGGGAGGAGGGGGAGGAGCAAAAGGGAGCGAAGAAAAGTCTTGGAAAGGAAGCTGGAAAAAAAGTCTCCCAAACTCAGTTTTTCTCCGAACACCCATTTTCTTTCTGTTGCGCCTCAGTCTTACGGTTTCCCCGCAACTTCTCTCCTTCTTTCCCGTACAGACGGGATGTCCTCTGCCTTTCTCCCATTCCCTCGGGCTTCCCCGGAGCCCCCGCTTTCTCTTCAGCTTCACCTCGGACCCTTGCGCCTCTTGCCCAGTCTCCTCTCCCCATGCCTTTTCCTGACACCCTCCTCTCGATAGTCCCCTTCCTTCTGCAAATAAACTATTGAATAAAACCAGTAAAACCAAATTTGGTATTAAACTCGCCCTCTCCAAAGAAGTCGGGCAGCGGCTATGGAGAAAATGATAAGGAAACCAGACTTGGGGAAGCCTCAAGTCCGCCTCCCCCGAGCGTTGGGGAGGGAGGAGGGTTTGCCGCGTCCTCTTCGACAGCGCCCTGCCCTGACCTCCATTCATCATCCCAGGACGAGGAGCCAGGAAAGGGGTGAGAGGGGGAGGGCGAAGGAGGGGTAGTGGCCCCGGAGAAAGGTTAGTTACCTCCTTGCGTGTACGTGGTGTTAAACCCTCTCTTTAATGTTGGGCGGAAAACATGCAGAACAGCAGTTCTCAGACTTGAGCTGCACCAGAACCCCATGGAGAGCTATTGAAATACAGATTACTGGGCCCCACCCCGGAGTTTCTGGTTCAGTGGGGTCTGAGGTAGGCCCGGGCAATTGTCATGTCTGGTAACTTCCCGGGTGCTGCTGTTGCTGCTGGTCTAGGGCCATATTTTAAAAACCACTTTGCCAGGGTACTGAGAAGTCACATGTGCGCTGAGCTGGGGGCATGTTGGGTCCCCTTCTTATTCTTTAGGGATAAAACACAGATTATGAGGAAACCAAGACCCAGAAGGGTTAAGTATTTGCTCAGTGAAGTGTGTGTCAAGAGTGGGGTGAATGATGGTGCTGCCTCCCTTCTGTGGCAGGATGACTGCACTGGGAGTCAAGAAGCCGCTGTGTGACTTTGAGAAAGTCACTTAACCTCTCTGGGCCTCAATGTTGCTTTCTTTCATTTCTCATTAGTAAAAATACGTACTTTATGCTGAGCGTATAATTTTAATCAAATCTGAATCGAAAGATGTTTAAAGGGGCAACATAAATATATTTTATTGAATATGTGGTACCATTTTTTTCCCTCACACATTTGGTAACTCAGGGAGGAGCCAGTTTATTTACTGATTTGCTCTCAGCTCAGGTGCCTGGATTTTTAGACCTGTTCCTGTAGTAAATGCATAAAGGGGATGATCCATTTTCAACAAGTTGAAAAGGATTTTGAGCTCCCTTTTTGAACTATACCCTTGTATTCTTTCATCTCCATTCTTCTTTAATTTCTTGGGTACCCCCTTTCCTTCTCTTTTCATCTCCAACAATCTCCAAGACCGGTTTCTCTCCCCCATTCAGTTCTACCTTCTTATTGTCCTCTTTCTGAGGCACAATCCAAGCTACCATGCCTGGGGCCCACCCTGGGTACAGAACTCTTCACTCCCCAAGGGACTGGGTCAGCCAGCCTTCCACCGCAGTGAAAACACCCCCTTTCCTCAGAGCTCCACAAAGGGGACCCATCCAGCTCTCTGGTTTTCAAAGACGGCTGCAAGCACCACTCCCACTGGCAATGTGGGATTCCAGTGAGAACACAGTGCATGAAGTTCTCACATTGATTCTTCAATATTCCTGCATATACTGTTCATTACTCAACATGTCAAAGATGTCCTTACCACTTCACATTGTCCTCCTCCTTGAACTTTCTCCCAGGACTCTCCATTGCCTCCATTCTGACTTTTGGGTCTCACCCTGGGCTCTGAGTCAAGGAGTCAGAGCCCAGAGGAAGACAAAGACCAGGGCCGTCCTTACCGGTGCTGTTGAGCCAGGAGAAAGGCCCGTGGCCCTGCCGTTCCTTCCATCCCGGGCGCTACATGTGTCTGCTCATCTTCACCGTGCAGTTTAGACAGAATGCAGATCACAGCTTACTCTGAGAGGGCTTACTTCTGCACGCCGTTGGCACCTAAAATAACATTATCTTATTGTTTTTATGGCTGTTTGTATTAACACAGTTGTGTTTATTATTATTACTCCTGTAAAGAACATCAAATCTCTGAACTCTCCCCCTTTGCCTGGGGCAGGTTCCTTGCTTAATTCTCTTCTTCGCTGCCTAGTTAGACAGAGTCTGGGCTATCTATAGTCAGGTGCTCTCTGCTACTCTCTGCTCTGTTGTTCACGATTTCCCCCTGGAATCTAACTTTCTTGGGGGCTTTCTGAGCCTCTATCGAGAAGAAAGCATTTAGTGTGGAAGTGATCGTCACATTCATTATGTTTGAGGGGCAGCCAGCGACTGGAGGTCTAATGAGTCAGCACATCACCGAAGGCTGCGCAGAGTGAACCGGAAGGAATCCTAGTGAATGACGTGAAGAGGGGGGTGTCCCCTTCTCGGTGCCCTACAGACACTCTACCAGTATCATATACGCAGGGAACCAGGTTGTAAAGGGTATCTGGAGAGGACTGTGCTGAGAAAATTACTAAGATGTAGATGAAGGGAGTAATTTTCCTTCTGTTTCAATATGAATCTGTTCTACCCAGAGGGGAGGTGTTGGGGAACTGGGTAAAAAGGGTGAAGGGATTAAGAAGTGCAAATTGGTAGTTACAGAATAGTCACAGGGATGTAAAAGTAGAGCCTGGGGAATAGAGTCAATCATATTGTATTGGGTCAGCTAAAAAGTTCATCTAGTTTTTTTCATATGACGACTATGGTACTGCTTAGTCCTCTTTAATTTCATGCAAAGCAATTTTGTGAGATTGCTGTCATATCAGCGTGCATTTAAAAAAACTTATCAAAATTGGTGAGTTTTTGTGCATCCATTTTAATATTGAAATGGAAGAAGATACACAACATTTTCAGAGCATTATGCTTTATTGTTTCCAGAAAGGTAAAAACACAACTAAAACATGAGAAATGATTTGTGCAGTGTATGGAGAAGGTGCTGTGACTGATCAAACATGTTAAAAGTGGTTTGAGAAGTTTCTCGGTACTATTGATATTTTTGCCAAATGATTCTTCACTGTGGGGCTGTCTTATGTGAGGTGGGAGGTGTTTAGCACACCACTGGCCTCTACCCACTAGAAGCCAATAGCAGGAGACCAACACACTCAAAATATCCAAATCAAAAAAGTTATTGGCGAAAATGAAAAAATGTCCTTTATTTTATGGAGAAAACTAAATAGATTTTTGGCCAACTCAATAATATCTATGTATGGTGCTAGGCAGGCATTTCAGGGGGAACATTTTGTAAGTATGATTGTCTGATTACTATGCTGTATACATGAATCTAATACAAAATAATATTGGATATAAACTAATTGAAAAAATTTAAAAAATTACAAATACATCTGTCCTGGGGCATGTATAAGTGTACACACACACACACACACACACACACACACTTTTCCTGATTATGAAATATGTTCATTGAAAAAAATTAGAAAATATAGAAAAGCACGAAGGATGGGAAAATCACCTTAAACCCAGTCCATACCTAGAGATGCCACTGTTACCAGATTCAGGTGATCTTTCTAGTAATTTTTCTCTCTTATTTTTGTTTCTCATTAATATAAATACATGCTTTATCTACACGGTGTGAGTCTAACTGATCAGAATTGCAAGACGCTTTAAAGGGCAACATAAACAGATAACTTTATTCAATATTTTGTAGTATTTTTTCTTATGCATTGGTAATTTAGACAGGAGCCAGTTTTTTCATTATTTATGTGATTCATGATTTATGTGGTACTTTGCATATTGTGCAAAATTGTGCTCATTGCACAGTAGATACAAGTTGTTATTTTAAATTTAATATCCTGATGTGATTATTTCCCCCATGTCATTAAATCTTCTCCAAAGTTAAACTTTAATAGCTGTGTAGTGTTGCATCAAAAAGAAAGATTGTTATTTATTTTTTAATTTTATTTTATTTTTCATCCTCATCCAAGGATATACTTACTGATTTCAGAGAGAAAGAGAGAGAGAAGTTGCTGTGAGAGAAAAACATCAATTGATTACCTCCTCTCCACATCCCAACCGGGATGTGCAACCCAGGTATGTGTCCCGACCGGAAACCAAACCTGCAGACTTTTGGTGCACGAGAGGACGCTCCGACCAGCTGAGCCACCCATCCAGGGTGAGATACTTACTTATTTAACCATACTTCTATTGTCATACATTTAAATTGTTTCCATTTTTGTTACAATCATGTACTGCAGTTGACTACTTTATTTAAAATTCTGACTATTTCCCAAGGGTGAATTCCTATGACTAAGAGTTTTGGATCAATGGATATAACATTTTAAAAACTTGTGGTTCGTATTGCAAACTGTCTTCTAGTGGCCCCAATGTACATTTCCACCTCTGGGATCTCGGCAGCAATGAGATCATCAGACACAAGGCCCCAAGTGGAGGCTCGACTGAGTCGTCTAGTTTGGATGACTGTACTGACCAGATAAAGAAAACAATGGTCAAATAGTCACTACAGTGGGGAAACCCCCATGTGGGAAGAGTTAAACAGTAATCACCGACTATGTGAGCTCTATTATATTTACGATATTATTTAACCTCTCCAGCAATCCTCTGAGAAATAAGATAACTTTTTTGAGCACGGATCTCTTACGGCCTCTGTGCTGGATTCTGTGTGTGCATTCAGTCTTGAATCCCCACAACAGCCTTTGCTGCAGGTTGGATTATCTCCGTTTTACAGATGCGGAAAATTGGGTAGCTTGCCTAAGAGCCTCAGCCACTTGAGGGGTTGTACTAGTTCCAAAACCAGAGATTTTCGGGTCCAACACACGTTTTCCCTGCAATTGTTGCACGAGTTACAGGCTCATGGGGTAATAATTTAGAAGATGCTTGAGGAGTTTTGTCAAGCCATTAACAAGTCTTTGGTGAGCTTCCCAATGACTGTTTTTTTAAAGAGCATCCAAGTACATTCAAAGAACTACAGTAACTTACTAATTATATTTAAGAGAAGAGCCCAAAGATTGTATATCTTAAGAGAATGAAGTTTTAGTGTATGAGTTAAGATTAAAGGCTAGATATCAAAACTCACATTACTGACAGTAATTAGTAAATTGACTTCTGCATGTATTCCTATTCTCATAACTAATGTATGGATAAAGAGTTTTTATCTTGCCCTGGATGGTGTAGCTCAGTGGACTGAGCACAGGCTATGAACCAAGTGGTCGCCAGTTCGAATCCCAGTCAGGCCACATGCCTGCGTTGCGGGCCAGGTCCCCAGTGGGGGGCATGTGAGAGGCAACCACACGTTGGAGTTTCTCTCCCTCTCTTTCTCCTTCCCTTCTGCTCTCTCTAAACATAAGTAAATAAAATCTTTTCTAAAAAAGACTTTTTATCTTGATAGAGGTGCTAGAAATAAAATATTTTGTGTACCCAACTGCCGAGCCTCAAATTCAAGCTGTTGAATGTATAAAGTTTACATTTATTGAGGTAATATTTGAATACATTAGAAAAATTAATGCAAAAATTAATTCATTAATTTATTCTTTAAAAACTTTGTCCTCATTCCATTCTGTAGCGGGCCATTCAGTGGTTACCTGAGTTGGTCTACCTCTCCATGCTGGCATCACAAGGGCTGCAACGTGCACAGTCGCTCCAAAATATTTGATGACTGAATAAAGAATGGTAAATGAAAGTGTGAGATTGACCTCTGCAACAATTAGTAAACAATGCAAGACACCATGTAATTAAACCCCAAATTGCATGGTGCAGGCAGAATTACAGGTGAGTCTTCTACAGGGCCATCAGCACCTTACAAGTTAAGCTGGCTGGCTCTGACTTCATTAGCCCGGGGCCACCTCAGGGTTCCTGCAGGCCAGGTGTTCTGTGGACCTGAGGAGATCAGTCTCCAGGTTCCTCTGAGGCTGCCTGCAGACAAGGGTTCCCTAGGGAAGGGTGACATAAAAAAGCAAGATTGTGGAATCAAGACTGGGTTTGGATCCAGTTTTGTCCAAGCTGTATGACCTTGAACACTCCGCATCCATTTCTTCACCTGTAAAAATTAGAAATAATGTAGATGAAGCCTCCCTCTCATATATAACTCCCAGTAGGTTACCTGGTACAGAACCACACCGGAATGACTGGCGCTCGTTCTGACCGGTCAGTTCCCATGCCACGCACATGTGGTGGACACTCCAAGTCAGTTATTTAATAAAAATGTTGAGTCAAAGGTGAAGCTAGAACAGAGAAATGGAAAATGGGGTAATACAAGACCATTTCTGTGACCCGTGCTGCATGCCTGGTCTTTGCACACTCCTTAAGTTCCAAACAGAATCTGTCTGTGGACGCTGAGTTTTAAGAGACTGCACTATTCCAAGCTAGCTCAGGCCCCGTTTAGTCCACATGAAACTCCTTCCCTCCTCGACAACCTCCATCTCTCCCCCACCCCAACACCCTCATGTGTCAGGCTGAGACCCTGGAATTCCGGAGCTGCCCAGACTCCAGCTGTTTGATATTGTGCAGCTGACGGCTGCGGAGGGCAGGGGGTGATAGACTCCAGATGAAAGCAAAACTCAAAGAGAGCTGGACCTCAGAGCTTGGATACCAAACTCAGTGGGTAACAGCCTCCGTTAAATTTGTTCAGTCAGCCATTTAAGAGGGAAGGCGTTTCTCACACGTCCTGTAGGGGTTTTAGCCATGGGCTGCTTCCGCAAAGGGGGATTGATGTCCGGGGACTGAGCAGGGCAAAATCAAGTGCCAAAACTTCCCCTGTGAGCTGAGAGACAGGTAATGTGCTGGCTTATTTTGCTGCCAATGTATTGTGTTTTTTCCTTCTTAACGAGGTACTGGGACTTTTGGTCGTAACAGAAAATGTGTCCCACCCTAACTGTCCTCCACTTCCCTTCTTTGGGTTCTTCCCTCAGGGGGAAGGCTGACTTCCCCCTGAGGGAAGAAAGAGGGGAGCAGAGAGGAAGACAGAGATGCTGGGGCTGGCAGTGTTGAGGGGACCCCACTCAGGAACCAGTTTCATATTGTTTGCCTTCTACTGGTTGGATTCATCAACTAGGAAATGGATTCACTTGAGACTTGGTGGGTCCCATCTGAGAAGCATCTTACCTATGAACCTCTGCCTGAAATGAGGAAGGACTAAGAAAATGAATTGCATGGCCCACTGATTTTCACATTCATGAAAATAAAATAAAATCCATAAACCTTGACTTTCTTCTCCAGGAGAGGTAAAGACGGGACCAGTCATGTCGCTACCTGAGAACCCATCCCGGGAAAGCGTGGGCAGCAGAACCGCATGCGGGCTGAGTCTCCAAGCCTCCTCTACATGCCCCTTTGTCCGGTTAAACTTCATTCACAAAACAGAGATTCAAAGATAGAATTTCAAAATGGCAGCCACAGAAATTCAAGCCAGGCAGCGGGCCCTTCTGAGTGCAGGGCTCTGTGTAGCTGCACTGGCTGCGTGCCCATGAAGCTGCCCAAACACATCAGACTCAGAACAACCTGAAACTGTCAACTTCTGCTCTTCTCGGGACTGGGAGCCTCTCCTTCCTCTCCAGTGGGGGCTAGCAGTGACAGAGTGGGACAGGGACGCTGCCTTTCGTGACCCCTCCTCAGTGAAGATGAGTAATGTCAGCCTCACTTATTCTGCAGAAAAATCATCTGCACCTTTCTCTCTGTCTGATGTAAAAAAAAAAAAAAGCCTTGAATCAAACTATCTTCGTGAACCACCTGGCTGAGAAAGAAACTTGAGAGCCACCTTTGGTGCCTCCTCTTCGTTCTTCCCCTTCAACGGTCACTGACTTCTCCACTGCCACATCCAGTCTGCCCACAATTCGTATGACCTGCATTCGGTCCCCTCCGAAATTACCCTAGTCTAGACTTTAATTCATTTCTTACGTGGAATATTGCAAAGACCTCTTCACTAACATCCCCACTCCCACCTGACTCTGTCACCGGTCCATTTCCCACGTTCCTGATGGACACAACTTTAGAAATGGCAAATCTGATCAGGTCATGTGCCCTCCTCCCCCGGAATCGTTTAGTGACCTCATTACTTTTAGGATGAAATCAAACTGCTCAGGAAAGCACACAAAACCTTTCACAAGTATCTCCTTAATGCGACCTCCTGCCATGTCCCACTGCAGACCCTGTTGCCTTCTCAGCACACAGAATTCTCCAGATTGTTCCAGGATCCTTCGTGTCTCCAGGTCTTTGTATATGTGGTGCCCTTGCTTGGTGCGCCTTCACTGCCTGCTGCACCAAATCCCTACTTGTCCTGCGCAATTTAGCTCAGTTCTTAGCTCCTCTGGCCCTCCTTGGCCACCTCCCCTTCCCAGCGTGCGACGTGTGCCTGTTATCCAAAGACTCTGTCTCGATGTTCGTCCTTTAGCACTTCTATACCGATTTACAATGAACTGTTTCAGGCGGTCAGGTTTCTCAACTGCAGGGCATGCCATTTATACCGTGGGTTTTTCAACTTGCCCCACCTCGTGTAACACCCTGAAACCCAGTCCCGGGCCCGAATCACCACTGTAGTCCTGATGCCTTGTACAACTTAGGGAGTGAGGTAGGCAGCGGGTGGCTGTTTGGTGGGAAAAGGAAGAAAAAGAAGGGAAGGAGAGAGGAAGAACTGCAGCTGCCAGCCTGCAGCGTTTCCTTCTCCTCCTCTCGGCCCGGGCCCCACTCCTCCTCCCCATCCGCTGTCTGATGTCTTAAGAGCCAGTACAGATGCACAGCTCGGCCAGTCTGACTGTGCAGACGCAGGTGACCTAAGGGTGCGGGGGAAGCAACGATGTGACCAAGTCCAAAGCAGTGGCTGTGTACAGACACAACCTGGCTCTTCAACTTGGGGCCTTTTGATGTGGAACACGGACATGCTGATACTTATCTCTGTCCGCGATGACTAATTCATAAAGTTACCATAAAGCACTTTGAAAAATATATGGATACGCCTAAATGCACACAGCAAGAGAAAAACCCAGTTTTATGGACATAGAAAAACAACTTAAAATGCAGTTGTGAAAACTCGGAGAACTATACTCCACATAAAGAATTTTACTGCATATAAATTTTTAAAAAGTCAACCATTATGAGGGGAAACCCAACATGGAATCCAAGCTGTAACAACTGAACCCAACAATATCACAAATGAGTAACGTAACCATAATGTAAGTCGTGGAGAAGAAAAGAGGTAACTCAAGTTACTTCGGACATCAGTGTTTTGACTGGATACTGTAAGGCTAATGGCCAAAAGAACTGTATACAAATACTACAGTCTAGTTAGTAAATTTATTTCTCACAGGGATATGGATTAGCAAGTCTGAAACTACTTTGTGTATACGTGCTAGAGTTGAACAAATAATTAAATACATTGTAGATAATGAAAGCCAGGTTTCAAACTGTCAGAGAAAGAAATGATAAATAAGGGGGGGCGGCTAGGATGTTCTCTGTGCTATTGCATTGGAGTCAGAGGTATTGGTGTGAATTCATGGTGGGAAACATATAAATGGGGCAGGCAAAAGTAAGCTTACAGTTATGAGTACGTGATACACAGACTTTATTCTTGTATTATTTATTAGTTTGTTTGTTTGTTATTGTGTTATTTATTTGTATTATAATTGTAAGTCTACTTTTTCCTACCCCTGTATATATGTTACATATTGGGTTGGCCAAAAAGTTCATTTGTTTTTTCTGTAAAATGGCTGTAGCAGCACTTAGTTGTCTTCAACTTCATCTGAAACAATTTTGTTACATTGTATTGTGACAGCTGTCATATCAGAGTGCATTTTAAAAAAAGCATCCAAATTGCTGAATTTTTGTGTAGCTATTTTAATGTTGAAGATGGAAGAAAATACACAAAATTCCCAGCATATTATGCTTTATTATTTCAAGAAAGGTAAAAATGCAACTGAAACGCAAAAAAAAAACCCCACAAAAACAGATTTGTGCAGTGCATAGAGATGGTGCTGTGACTAATCAAACACATCAGAAACGGTTTGTGGAGTTCGTGTTGGAGATTTCTCGCTGGACAATGCTCCATGGTCTGGTAAGCCAGTTGAAGGTGACAGTGATCAAATTGAGACATTAATTAAGAACAATCAACGTTATACCACATGGGAGATAGCCAACATGCTCAAAATATCCAAATCAATAAAGTAATTGGCGAAAATGAAAAACATGTCTTTTATTTTGTGGAAAAAAATATGGACTTCTTGTCTAACCATATATATACATGTGTGTGTGTACATGTATATATATATGGAGAGAGAGAGGGGGCAGACAGAGACAGAAATAAATGTAGATGTGTGTATGTGCCTAGTACAGTCCTAGTAATTCTCTATTGACTACTCAGCTCTCTCTGCTGAGAGGGCCTAGAAGCAATGACATCCCAGCAGCAGGGAGCACACCCAGTACCCAAGTCTTGGTTTCTACATCCCACTCTCCACTGTAAGGGATTAGGGAGTCTTAGAAAAGTGTTTGGTTCCAGGGCTGGGGTGGGAAAAAAACCAGGATGAGCCAGGAGCACCGCATGCTGTCAGGAGAACAAGGAAGTGCTCAAAACAGATGGGGGTGTGTTGAGAGGACAAAGTAGCCAACCTGCAACCAAAGTTGAAGTGATTTCAGGAACAAAACAAGCAGCCATTGTTTTAGATTATAACCCAAAGAACAAAATAAATATCCATGAATCCATACTGATATAAATAAATAAGTAAAGTAAAAGGGGCAGCTCTTGGAGGAGAACTCCAAACAGTAAGTGTAAAAGCAGTTAGGGGAATAGAACACCTTTATTACAACACCACGGCAACAGTTTTTCAGGCCAGGATTCACTGATGAATGCTAAAATTCATGGGTAAACATTTCAGGAGAAACAAGATACTTGCATAGTCTAAAAATATTACCTCTAAGATATTTACTAATCACAAAGTATCCATTTTAAAAACTACCTTTACTGTGAAGAATCCCAACCTTAACCAAGTATTAATGTTAACATCATGAGTAATGATATACTGGCATTATGTACCCCCAATATGACTCACTGAGAAGGACAATTCACTTTTTCAGGTATTCTTGCCCCGAAATGGAAAACCTCAGACATAAAAAATTGAGGGGCATTCTCCAAAATAACTTCTAAATAACCTAAACTTCTCAAAAGTGTCAAAGTCAGAAAAGACGAAGGAACCGCTGCTGATGGAGAAGACCAAGGAGCTATGACAACTGGGTGCCATGAAGGATCCTGGATTAGATCCTAGAACAGGAAAGGGCCTTAGTAAAAATACTGGTAATATCTAAAGAAAGTCCATAGTTCATAGCGTTGCATCGATTTGGTTTCTTAGTTTTGATTATTGAGGTTGTTGAGGATGATAACAATAGACAAGGTTGGGTAAAGGGTGTATGAAAATGTACTGTATCTTCTTTGCAACTTTTCTGTAAGTTACTCAAAAAGCCAAGTTGAAAGAACGAGGAGGACCATGTGAGTAAAGGGGTGGAAAGTGGAGAAAGGCATGTTGAAAATCCTCTGAGAAAGAATACTGCACTGAGGAAGTGGAAGAGTTCAGAATGGTTCGACAGAGCGGGGGGGGGGGGTTGTTTTAACGATAATGGAAAAATCACCACTTCTTATTTTAAGTCATTCATTTAAAAACCAGAAATCCAGCCCTGGCTGGTGTAGCTCAGTGGATTGACCATGGGCCTGTGAACCAAACAACCGTGGTTCGATTCCCAGTCAGGGCACTTGCCTGGGTTGCAGGCCAGTTCCCAGCAGGGGACACATGAGAGGCAACCACACATTGATATTTCTCTCCCTCTTTTCTTGCCTTCCACTCTAAAGATAAATAAAATCTTTAAAAAAAATTTTTTTAAACCAGAGGTCCATGTAAGCAGCAGTGGTCTAGTAGGGGGTCTCCACAAATGCTAAGGCCTATTCTGGAGCTGTGAGCATCATCTCCAGGATATGCTCAGGGTGTTTTAAAGGAGTAAATGAGTGCTTGGCCAGGGGCCACACTAAGGAGATCCCTGGAGAGGCTGAGGCATCTTAAATTGGGAAGTCAAATCCCAGAGTTACCTTAGTTAAGCATGGAAATAACACAAGGAGGTTAGATTTTGTGGCCCAACTATTGAATGGCATCTGTCATCACAGTGAAGCTGTCCATGGCACTAGCCTTACATGGGTCAGGTAGCTGGGCCCGATCCTCCCCTAGGCTGAACTTCGGTGGGTCTTGTCACATTTGTTTCTGGGAAGATGACCAACTGCCCTTTGTGCCTGCTATATAATTTTTTAGACATGTTAAGATATTTTGCTGGTTTTGTTACTGTAAAACAGTCATTCTGAGCGCTGGGGGGTCTCCCATATCAGCCAAGATGGTGGCAGAGGAAAATTCTTAGTGTGTGAAAAGCTAGTAAGATAACTGGACAGAAAAAAAAGCCCTTTCCCCTACCTTTCAGCACGAGGTCGGAAGTGGGACCAGAGAAGGCAGACACATGCTTCATACAAGTCAAAATGGCAAAGGGGGAGGTGCTAGACCAAAGAGACCTGTCAGTCTAGCCTGGGAAAAGAAGGGATTGGTTGGGAGGTGGACCTGCCCAAAGCATGTGAAAGTTTGGTAAGTTGATTGTTTTGAGAAGCCCCTGCTCTGTCCCACACCCAAGCCAGTATGATCCCAGGGAAACAAAGAAGCACTTTTGCTCTCGCTCATGGCCTGCACTCGCCTTGCACTTGCCTACTCCCTCCATGGCCTCCAGGAGGGAACCTCTTGCTGTCTCTAGCCCACTTGGTGAGCCACTTGTTGGTGCATTCACGTGCTTTCTCACCCGGGAGCATGCGACGTGTGGCCCCAGAAGCCACGTGGCCCACGGCTGTGTGGGCCAGGTGGGACCCTGAAATGGGAGGCAGCCAGAAACAAGCTAAGCTACCCGGGTGGGGACTAAGACCACTTAGCAGCCGCCTGTGGGCTCCAAAGGACGGAACTTTAAAATGGAGCAGGAACTCTGGACACTGGCTTTTGTCTTGGCCTTGCTGAGGCCGGTTGGACTTTTTCCATGGCAGAGAGAGGAGCAGGTCTTTGAGTCCCCCCTTCTCTCAGGTTGTGCAGTATCTGAACAAAACCTCTTTCCTTTCGCACCAGCATCTGCCTCACGAGTTTGGCTTCTGTGGAGCCATGCAGCTGAACCTCTGTTTTTGTTCAGTTACAGTCTGGCAGCCATTCCACCTCTAAAGTGATTTGGGATCTCTCTTGTTATCTATTAGAGTTAACTTTATATTTTAATTCTCACAGGCAACCTTGTTTCCAATCTAGTCAACTATCAGCTTAGACATGGTACCCATGACCTCATCCACCTCTCTCAGTCAAGGACACCTGAAATGAACAGTGTGGAGGCACCCAGCTGTGAAGCTGGCTCCGCTTGGCGCGGAGGCGTGAGGGTGGTCACTGACGCAGCTGTGTTCCCGCTGACAGCTAGAGTTCCTTCAGCGACTGTGAAGTCGTGGATCTTGTGATCAGAAGACCCGAGATTGGCTCCTGGTGCCACCATTTCCAGCTGTATGGCGTTAAACAAATCACTAAACTTTACCTTTGGTTTTTTTCATCTGTAAAATGGGGATAATGATAATACCTGTCTCACAAGATTATTTTGAGAATCAATGGGGATATTAATGCGAAAGTGTTTCTCAAAGGGTAAAACACTTTACAGCTGTTAAATTTAATTTTACTGTCTCAACACAATGAAACATACGGCATATTTAATGTAAAAATAAAAAATATTTTTAAATGTAAAAAATGGCACACGTGTTTAGATACAAATAATTTCAGCAACACAATGGTTTTTTTAACCTAAATCGTGTTTTTCAGCATTTAGCGATGCAGTCGGATGCTAGTCGCGGCGGATTCCTCTCTACAGGGTCCTTGGCAGTGCGAGCCCCGCTGGTTGCCAGGACCGCGACAACCAAAGGCTGTTGATCATTAGTCCATGTGAAACACAGCACTCGGGCATCTCACTTGGAATTTGCTTTTTAACTCATTTCAAGATGTGGCGCTTAGAACTGAAAAGACTATTGTATGCCTGAGTGAGTGCACCAAAACACCAGGGCAGGCTGGGGTGTGGGCACCCACTTATGTGTGCAACTGCCTCTTTACCTAATTAATCCGCTCCCTGCAAGCCTGAACGCGGCCCGTGAACTTCACATTCCACTGGTAACTGGAACTCTGGGTCCTGCAAAATCCGGAGGCTTTAATGGAACGTTATTTGTTCAAGGCCCTTGAAGCAATGATATCTAATGAAGCAAAAGCAAAGAGAAAATGCTCCGAGCCTGGGTAAAAACAGTTGATTTCCATCACAGATCTGGCCCTGTCACTCCCCTGCTTAGGAAGCCTGGAGGGCTCCCCTCCTGGACAGAGTCCAAACGCTTCTCCACCCACCCTGGTCTCATCTTTCCACACACTCCGGCTACTCCCTCTTCCTTCTACAGCTTCCACCCCTTCCCCCCTCCAAATCTGGGTCCGTGCCTCTCAGAGTGTGGTTTGTAGACTGACTACCTGTAAGAAAAGAAACTGGCAGTCTTTGTTTAAAAGGCAGATAGCCTTGCTGGATCTTGGAGCGACTGAATCAGAATTTCTGGGAGTAGAGACGTCAGGGATCTGTATGTCAAAACTCGTTCCTTTAGCGATTCTTATAAACACAAAGTGTTGGGAGACACTAGTCTAGCCACACTCATCAAACTCTGCTCCTTCCACAGAGCATGCATTTTATTTTCCCCTCTGCCTTATTCTTCTCCTCCCCACAGACTTACTAAGCTTCCTTTATTGAGTAGCTTCTGTGTGCTAAATGCAGCCTGTGCATTAAGGCTTCCAGGCCCAGCTCATATGTACGAATTCTCTGGTGCCTTCCCGATCCCTCTCAAAGAATCAACAAAATTAAGTGAGTATTTACTAAGTCAGCAGCTTCAACATGCAGAGAGGAAATAGAAATGAACTAGATGAAGTCTCTGTCCTTAAGATGCTCCCTCGCAGTGACCGAGACTCATGTGTCTGTGCCCCTAGGGTCTCACAGAGGGACTGGACCCTCCGAACCCCAGCACTGGGAGAAGAGGAAGTGCCAGGCAGCCTACACAGGGAGGCTCTTCCTGGCCTTAACATGCACAGCACTGTTATAACTGGAGCTCA